AGAGTTGAGATAACCATTGAGTTGTCAAGTCTGATGCTTTGATTGTGAACCTGGCCTATAAATGACTAAGTCATCTCTAATCCAGAGCAGCAGTCTGGCAGCTTCTTTATATGACTTTTGTCATATAAAGTGTGGTTCTCTAGTGCATCCACGGGTATGGCATTTAGCTCATCTATGCTGCTCAAGTTCCTTTTCTTCCTCATCATCAGGTCCACAGCCTGAAAACAGGAGACAGCTCTTCGGGCTGCCACTGAAGAACGTCTTTGCTTTAGATTTCCCAGGGGACTTCTTCAATATCTCATGGATACATGAAATGCATGTGAGAATCATATGTGAGTGTCTCCAGGACCCTGGTTGGTTAAGTTATGTTGAGTCTAGGAAACCCCAGGCAGATGATGGATTTAATCACTTTCCTTCTCATTGCACCTGCACACAAGGGTTCGCAGAGCTACATACTATTTGCCTTAGCAGTGTATTCTGAAGTACTCTTTTAAAGGGATTTTTAGAGACTGGGAAAGTTTTAGAGTAAGCTTCAAGGTGACCTTTGCTGGTACATTTTCAGGAAGCCTGTAGCCTGCCTAGCTCTTTTTAGTTTCTTTTCAACCCCTGGAACAGGTGTTACTTAAACCTGCTTGGTCACCAGCCCCACAACTGGTAGCTCCATGATCATTCACACTTTGTCAATATTCACCTTTGACATGATATTTGTGTAGAAATCTCTCCTCACTCATGATGGAGATGATTAAGATGAGCCTGGAGAGGATATATTCCCTTTTTGCTTCTAGAAAATTGGATTTGGCCTGGGTTATGAAATATATTCATTTGTGTTGTAGCTCAGTGGTTCTCAGCCCTGGCTAGACATTCAAATTACCTAAGGAACTTTTTAAAAATACCAACTGCCTGGGACTTTTTCCAGAATAATTAAATCAGGGTTGCAGCGCCTGGAACCTGGCATTGCACTTCTTCAAAGGTCTGTAAGCAAGTGGGATGTGCAGTAAGGGGTGGAAGCCCCGAGAAGAAGATGGACAGGCAGGGAGGTGGCTCCTACCTTGCTACTGCTATTACTAGAAATACCATTAGTACTACTACTGAACACTTACTAGGTGCCTACTGTATACAGACATTGCTCTCAGTTTTTTCTTCAAACGGTGTTAACCCTGTGTTTTTCTTACAAGCCATGAATTTATTTTGTTTTACAAAATGGAAATTATTTCACAATAGGAAATCCTTGGGGATGTAGAATCCTGCTATCTGAGTATAATGACAGTCTTTGGGGGTACTCCCTGCTACAAAAGCAACGTCTAACCTGCTGGGCAGGTATACATCTGGTTTTCCGTATTCATCGTCTTGTCATATAAAGCTTCCGTGGCTCTCATATGGTTAGCCTGTTGGTCTGCCAGCAGAGATCTGTGTATAATATAGCAAACAGCATGAAATCCAGATCCTTGGTTTCCTAGTGTCAGACCTCACTCGAGTTTTCTAAAATAAATCATGGTTGAAAATATTATGTAAGTAGAGAGACTCTGATAACACAATGCCAGGGGAGACTCTGGAGGAACAGATGAGCTCTGCTGACAGTTCAAGCTGTAACTGCCATGTACTCAGATGGAATACATTTGCAGGTGGTTTCTTCTGCTCTGTGTATAACCTTCTTGAGAGGACTCCATCACGAAGGATGGCAAGAATGCAGTGGTATTTAGAGTGTATAGACACACGAATGTGATGTCAGGCAAGGGCACGTCCTCTGTCCCAGCCTGGTCCTACCTAGCTTTCCTCTTTTTCTCCCCTTTCAGATCCTGAGCTCTATGCCCAAAGGGCCTAAGGGCTTGATATTTGCTTTTACTTCTCTAAAAACTGACACTGAATATAATCATCTGCAAGACTGACCAGCTTTGTTGCTGGGAGCCTATTCTGGGCAATGCATTTTGATAACAGCTCGTTGTCCTTTGATCTTTGTAGCGAACAAGTTACCCAGTGCATTTTCAAACATCCTGACAGCTTTGAAAGTCTAATATCCTAGGATAAAAAGCTCTATACCAAGGAATTGCAATCACACCTTAGTAGAGAAGTTGGCTGTGCATATCACAGAAATACCTGTCTCCCTGTAGCTTTGCCTTAACCTCCTCCCTCAACCTCTGTTGCCACTGAATGTAAGGCATTTAGTGCCTCTGGCTATGATAAACCAGAGAAGGACAAATGTAATGATTCTACTAACACAATTACAGGAATTAGGGTCAAGTGTCCGTAGTGATGAGCCCTGTTCCTTCCTGTGTGCAGAAAGAAGGATTAACTAGAGTTGTCCTACTCCTTCAGCACACTGTCTGGTTATGAAAGCCTTCTATAATGAAGGGAGGCATCAAAAAGGAGAAAAAAGATAAGAAGATGATAAATCTTAAGATGTGGTACATCTTCCTGAGTGGGGTGTGTCAACAATAGTCAGACTATAAGGGTCTGTTTTCTGCTGTGTTTACTGGCTGTGTAGCCTAGGTGAGATGCTTTCGTCACTTTTCAAGGTCTTTTTAGGGAAAACAATCTTTTAGAAATGTCGGTAGGGACTGACTGGCTGGCTCAAAGGTTAAAAATGTCTGCTCTTCTTGTATAGAACCCAAATTTGGTTCCCAACACCCACATTGGGTAGTTCATAATTGCCTATAACTCTAACTTTTGGTGATCCAATACCATCCTCTGGCCACCAAGGGAACTCACATATGTGCACTTACACATATGCAATACACAGTCATACACATAGTTATAAATAAATCTTTAAAAAATTACTTCGGTCAGAGTTATTATATCATCTAAAGGTCAAGATAGAAACTTCTTTCTCATTTGGCAGCTAGGTCCTTCTGTAGAATCAGACGTGTTCTGTAAATGATGAGGATGCTGGAAAACAAGTGCCTGTGGGCATTGCCCTAACCATTACATTCCAACGTCTAGGGACATCCACCACACTCGTCAGAACATCTGGGCTTTATGCTACGTATCATCAGTTTTATGGGACTTTAATTCTTATGGAAACTTTTAAAATTTTAGAAACATTTCATTGTTGAAGCCGTTTTTGAGCTTGAGCAGGATGCCTGGAGAACATGTTAGAATGGTGTGTGTTGGGATTTGTCACATCATTTGGGGGAAGACACATTCCCATGATGTGCAACTCTACTGGCTACATTATTGCAGGATATTCCTGAACGGTCTTCTAGACCTAGGCCATTGTGTTTAGACATACTCTCCTATTAAGTCTAACGTTGATCTTCCTATTTGTGTATGTGCCCAGTGGGGTTTGGCACAGTAATAAGGCTCTAACAGATTGTTCATCATGTTCACATTTAAAGGGTTCCTCTAGCTTTGTCATGAGCATGGCAGGTATTTATGTTGTGTCTTTTAGTTAAGTGGATCTTGTTGTCCGGTTAATATACACACATGGTCAATTACAGTGTGGTCCCCATGGATGTCAGGTGGCTTATAAATCAGGAGACTACAAAACGAAAGAGATAGATGATGACTCAGGGTGGAAAAAAATCTGTATGCCAAACCCTACTTATTTATTGCATTTGGAAAAATGTCCCTAGTTGAATTGTCCCTGGCTTAAACTCAGCTTCCTTTCTTATTCCCATTTTCTAAGTTATTTTTATGGTGTACTGTCAAAAGCACCTTTCATCTACTAAAGGAGAACATTTGTCACATTCCCTAATCTATTATTTATAAGTACCTTGGGCTTCTGGTGGTTTCTGCATTTGTTCCTGTAGCAAGCGCTACTTCACTTCTGGAGAGTTCCCTGGCTTCTTGAGTTCCCCTGCTGGCTTGGATTGTCCAGGTAGATGTCCCCATGTGATCCAGTGTCACCAAATGGTAAACATGTGCAGTGCCCAGGCTACAAACCAGTCAAGATGGCAAGATGCTTGGCTTCTCAGATAGGTAGATGCCCAGACACACTCTAGAAAATTCAGTCTTCTCTCCTGTCTGCAGTTCAATCAATGGCTACGTCACCATGAGCAGGAATCCTCCAGGTCTCTGTTTTCTCCTCTGGAAAATGGGAGCAGTTCTAATCCACCTCTGAAATTTACTCAGTATTTGTAAATAAAGCACTTAGCAAACCTGCCAAACTTCCCTGAGTCCCATGGTGTATGTGTGTCATCTGTACAGATGTGTATGGTTGACACTGAGATGTCTTGCTTAATGGTTTCTTCACCTTTTTGTTTGGAGACAGAGTCTCTCCTTGAGCCTAGATTATCTATTTCCTCTAGCATGTCTGGCTAGTGACCCTTGCAATCTGCCTGTCCCCACCCTGCCAGCATTGAGGTTGCAGACTGTTGCCGAATACCTGGATTTTTAAGTGGGTTTGGGGATCCAAACTGTGGTTCTCATTCCTATGTGGCCAACACTCTCTCATACCCCTGAGTCATCACCCAGCCCTCCTGAATCTTTTTTTTTTTTCTCGTTAGGAAGCAATAATCATGTACTATGAAAACACACCAGCAGGAGGCTATTAATCACATTCAAGAGAAGCTGTAAAGATGAAGGGAAGTTGGCAAGTTCAAGGCAAACTGGAGAAACAGTGTAGAGTTGTCCAAAGTCTGGTTCTAGGTCCAGCAGCACCTGCATCACTTGATTCCTGGTTGTAAAGGCACATTTGCAGAGCCACTGAATCTGAACTTGGGGAGTGGGCTGGACTGTTAGCATGTTAACGAGTCCTTCAAGTAATAGATGTTCACTAAAGTTTCAAACCCAGTGGTCCAAAGTAAACTCAGTAGGTATTGGTCGTGTGTTCTTCCTGTAGTTATTTGTGTGCATGCTGACCCATGTGAGTCCCTGCCAAAACTAACCATATGTGTAACATCACACAACTGGACACAGTGGTGATCAATTACCCAGTTTCGCTTGGTACTTTTGTAGAATAGAAATATATCTAGAATGCCTCCCCCATCTTTTTTGACAGCTTTACACCAAATTATTTTAAGGGCTAAAAAATTTACTATTCAATGTTCTTTTTTCCCCCCTAGGCAATTCCACTTACTTGGATGACCATGGACCACCTCCTAGTAAGGTAAGGTCATTGCTTGTGGCATAATCTACTTTTCCTTTAGCAATACTCATATACTTATATACTCTAGCAGTCCCTGGGCCTCCAGTGAATCCAACCAGGTCCCTTCTAGCCATGAGTTGTTCAAGAAAGCAAGCAGTAGATAGATGGTTTCAAAATGATCTTCAGCTTTAATGATGAAGAATCTTTAGAGTCTGAAGATGCCAAAGTTACAGGGAGGAAAAAAACATTACTTAATCTGTGACCCAGGTCTCACTCCAGACCTTTGTCAACCTCTTCTGTATTCCTAGCTCACTGTCCTTTGACATTGACTGGGTTGTTTTGGTCCTTGATGTGAGTGAGGTACATGATGGAACCTCCCCATGGTGTTGGACCTTGGGGCTATTATCATTTCTGTCAAATTCTCTCTGGCCCACTCTGATTGTATTATTCCACTCATGCCCAGTTAGTGTCCTCCCCTGTCTAGTCTGCTAGCTGTGCTCACTTCACTCTTCTTAAGAGCAGTTTCACCTAACTTTTTTGGTGACAGAACAGTTAATAAATATAATTTTCCTGCCACTCTCTACTTTCTTCACCTTCATGAAAGTCAAATGCAAAGTCATTGAAATATGAGAGATAAAGCAAACAGACAGACAGACAGACAGACAGACAGACAGACAGACAAAAAACAACCCAAGATGAAAATGACCTTGGCATGTGAGAAAAAATAAATGCAATGCAATGGACTCTTCTTCTTCTAAACTCATGCTTATTTGACACGACTTTTCCCCTTGTTGCAAGTGATGGTAATAGCTGGTCAGCCCTTGGAAGAGGACATCAAAATTGACAAGATTGGTCACTATATGCCTATTGGTGCAAGTTCTATAGCTAGTCTGTGTAAAGCCTAGATGTCCTTACACTTGGTTTCTTAATATTTGACCACTGGAGGCAATACTTGCCAAGTGCAGTTGTAACCGTGTTGAGAAGATAAGATGTTTAATCTTTGGAAATAGGTATCACGTATGTCCTTTTTGGTTGTTGCTGTTTGAGAGACAGTTTTGTATTAGTCCAAACTGGCCTTGAAGCCACTATATAGCTGAGGATGACCTTGAATTTCCGATCTCACCTCTTGAATGCTGAGATGCCAGTCATGCACAGCCTCTTTGGGTCTTGGGTGATGTTTAGGATTCAACCCCAGGACCTTATTGTGTTAGGTGAGCACGATAACAATGGAGCTGTACCCTCACCCCTTGGAAAACTATGTCTGAAGATGTATTGGTTCTGCCACTTTGTTTGGCACTAAGTAAACCTCTTAATATTCTGAGCCTCAGCTTTTCCTGGGCAGAGTCTGACTAAAATCACTGCCTAGAGCATAGGATGGCCAAACAGCACTCAACACTGAAAAGTGACAGTCAGTAAATCAGCAATGGTCTCTGCTTCCTGGGCTAACATGAAGGCTATTAATGAATTGTAGAGTTTCCATCACAAATGGAAGGTGTTCTATTGTTTGATCCATTGTGTGTGTGTGTGTGTGTGTGTGTGTGTGTGTGTGTGTGTGTTTTTCGGGGGGGGGGGG